CCGGCTGTGGCTGAGCGGTGTGGGGTGTCCTCTCGTGGGTATCTCTTCCAGCATTCTCACACACACACCCCACGCCCAGAGCATGGGACCGAGCCGTGCCGGACCCCGGGCCGCAGGTACAGATTGGTGTCAGGCACTGTTCTGTGTAAATGCGGGAATTTTATTTACCATATTTGTAGAAAATAAGCCAGCGTGCCCCTCGGGATGGGGAAGGAGGGGAAGGCCGAGGGCCTGGGAACGCAGTGGCCGGTGGTTGCCCTTCCCAGGTTGCCGTCAGCTGGCTGTTGCCATGGCGGCTGTCTGCTTCCCCTTCCTGCCCGCGCTGGAGAGGAAGGCGCGAGTGGCGGCGTGTTTGTTTTTAAACGCCGAGAAAGCTCAGAAAGGGCTCACCTGCGCAGCTGCGCCCGCAGCGGCCTTGGGGCAGCAGCCGCCGCTGCTTGCTGCTCCGTCCGTGCCCTCTCCCGTGCTTGGGCTGGGCAGCCCATGCATTGTTTTGGGGGTCCCCTGCACCCTACGTCCTTTTGGCTTTGCCCAGTATTGTCTGTCCTCTCTCCATAAACACACGTGTTGCTCATCTTGTTGCAAAGTCTGATGGAGGCTCATGAGAAAGGAAGCAATACTTGACATAACGCCTCCTTTTACTACAAGTTGAGTCCCGTGTAAGAGTCATTGCAAGACAGAAGGATGGAGTTTCCCGATTAAGGGCTCTCATCCTCTTTATTGTGTTACCATGAGAAGCCATATGGTTGAGCTCCTCTTTCATTTTTTTCCTCTATTACTGCCTCCTTTTTTTCTCTGCTGGTTCTACACATGCATTATACTGTGGTCATTAGGAATCACAGCTGGAAAGATTTGTATTTGACTTCCAATGGCCTGCATTTCTCTCTCCAGTAGGGGACACCTTCTGTAACCTCTGTTGCCTTGGGGACTGTGACTTTCTAGTCTTTGTAAGCTAAAGCATATTTTGTGGTAGCACAATATGCCTCCAGCCACCTGGCAGCAAAAACAGCCTTCAGCGATGAGTCAGCAACTGCTCCTGGTGTGCAAGTATTTTTGTATTCAGTGAATAAATACAATCCCAACAACTTGTTGCTAATACTTGTATTAGTCATTAAAGGAAGAATAATATTTTTATGTACACATATGCGATTATTCTCCTTTTGCTCTCATAGCACCATTTAGGTCCATATTAATCCTTCTAGTTAAGATGGGATCAGAATACGACCCTTAATTGTCTGGAAGCTATGAAGCAAAGTCAGAAGCTGCCCATGAGATCAGAAGGGTAGATGGAGTGTACCAGACAGGCCCCACATACAACATGTGCATATGACAAGCATATTTACTTTTTTTAAACAGGGCTGTTAATGGCACGTGTATATCAAGTGGAAAAATGAGTCTTATTAATCTGTTAAACATTTATGCTCATGGATTCAAGGAGCTGTGTCAAAGAGACAACATTTTCTTTGAAGTGCATCACCTGTCCTGATCTTCCCTTTGATCACCCTGTGCAAGGGCTTGGTAGGAGTACAAAAGGTTTTGACGTCTGGAGTGTTATTTGCCAGATATGTATCTGTATGCTTAGAGTGTGAAACATGTATTAGGAATTAATTGTGTGTGAATTAATTAAGTGTCGGGTCAGTCATGTTCCTCTTTCATTTGCTTCCAGTAAAAGTCTTGCATGTTTTTTTTGTGTTTGTTTACAAGTAGTCTGGTTTTTGGTTCAGCACAGTTCATGGAAGAGGCTTCGCTAATGTACTGTTGCTGCAGAGAACACTTTTCCTGTAAAATGGCCTTTTCTTGTGACTCATTGAAGCATTCATGCTAACATTTCAGACAGACAGTCTCTTAAGGATATCCCCTTTAAAAAGCAGCAGCTGCAATAGGAAATGGTTTTATGTGTTTCCAGCTTTGTGTTGACTTACTGTATTCACAAGTCTACTCTTTAGTTAAAGTTAGTGTGGAGGGCAAAAGGGGCTTCTTTCCTTCTTGGGAAGGAAGCCTCAAAAGGGTTACTTTGTTGCTCCCACATGGAGGTGGCAAAGCGTTCATCCCTGGTATTTTTGTGCAGTAGTGATTCTGAGGATTGAATTATTTTGATAAAGGGCAAATCAGCCTTGTAAAGCTTAGAGAAATGATACACCAGTATCACAATAGTTATGAATCTTAGAAAAATATCTCAAAATATATCACATTTTAAAAAAATATATATGCCAAGTTCATGGAATCACTGTTCTGGATTTTCTGTCCATCCCGAAAGGTAAATTATACCACACCAAAAACTCCTCAGTCTTGAAATATTTAAGAATTTTGGTCTTGGCTGAAGCGTATCTGGGGAAAAAGACACAGAAACTTGTGAAAAGGGCATTTTTTAGTTATTTCCATAAATTGTTTACTGCAAATAATATCTGCCATTCCATTCTGTGGCTCTTGCCCCATGCTGAATTAGTACCACAGAAAGCAGATCAGCCCAGAAGCAGAGCTGTAACTCCAAACCCTATTAGCTAGGCTTGCTGCTGAAGCCCATAGTCCCAGGTTGCTCCTCTTCACAGGTCATCATCTTTCTGTTGTCCTGGAACAAGCATCAGTCTGAGTACATGATGCCATGGATCAGATAGTTTAGGATGACCTGTTAAACAGTAAGGGCAGTTTATGGGATTAGTTCTGGCCTTGATCATTGGGCTGCTCTAGTTCACTTTCCAGGACTGCTGTGGGGACAGGACATCATGAGTGAGCTGCTCCAGTATGTGGGCCAGTGAAAGTGTGTGTGGGACCACACCACCATGGAAAAAAATGCTGGGTGAATACAGACCTAGGGAAATGCAAGCAAGCCCTAGATCTAGGAATAAAACCTGGAAAGCTGCCCTCAACATAGTGCTCTATTTTCTACTTCAAAGCAAAATGGTGTCAACATTCTTAAAAAAGTTATTCGAGATGGTATGCTTCTTATAAGCAAGGAGAACCAAGGGTAAAATATTTCCTATTCTGCTCTTGCATGGAAATCTCGAGTGTGTTAGGCAAATACATGAAACAATTTTAATTGGAAAAGGACAAAAATGCTGTACCAAAAAGTGACTTCAAGAGGCAGTAATAGCTTGATAAAAACATGTTATCTACATGTCACATGGACGTTGTGGTTCCCTGTGCAGTTTGAGCAGTTTTAGGACTGTGGCTGTAGGGAGGAGGGTGCTAAGAATCTCTGGAGTTTGATGAGGAAGGGAAAGCCTGGTCAAACTGAGATGCGAGTAAAAAACCAAAAACTTTGCTTTTGCTTTTTGAGACCAAATTAGTGTTTTTTAAGCCAGTCCTACAGGACAGTTTAAAAATATTGTTTTCCCCTGTAAAACTAGCAATGCCTGTGCAATCCGTAAGGACTGAACCCAGGACTAGTTACTTTGAAATAAATAATAGCAGGCTCTAGCACCACTACTTACAGGTTATGCTACAAACGCAGTGCTCTTCAAATGTGCCATGGGATGGATCTGTGTGAACTTTTCCAAATCCATTTCTTCTTCTTCTTGTTAATTCTTGAGGGCAAGAATAACGACCCACTGCTAAGATGTAAGATGAACACAGGTTTTCTGGAAGCCTCTTTTATGTGTGCTTGTGATTCAAATGGCACAGATCTACTCACACTGGAATATGAACATAATTTAATGGCTATCTGGAAGGGTTTTGAAGAGCTGTCTGTTGACACATCTCAAATACACCAACTCCAGTTGCAACTCTCTTATTTGTGATTATGTAAAAAATGCCTTGCAACTGTGTTATTCTGCCCTGTTGGGCTAATCTGAGTTGAAACATCTTGTTCACATAATGTGCTTCAGTGCTCTTTTATGAACTCCTGTGTACTGAGGCAAAGTTGTGGGAAGCCAATCTTCTGTTTCCTCGTCTGCTGGGGATTGGGGAGGAGGGTAGGGGGTGGAGATTTGGGCTGGTTTGTTTTGTTTTCCAGAAATGATCAAGCTTGCTTAGCAAATATGGAATTCTGGATGAGAAAATGAAGACTGACTTCTAATAGAGAGTCGGTTATTGAGGTGAAATAGTATCCCAGACTGGGCAATGTAAGGAGAAACCCACCTGTTTGTGCGAGATGCCATTAAAGTGCAGGAAGGTGGGGGTATAATCGGAGCCACTTTTGCAGGGGTGATTACTTATAACAAAAGGAGGAACAGCATCCCTGTCCCAAAGCTGCATTATGTAGTCTGGTGTCCCCCTGAAACTCAACTCCCATGTTTCTTCCTTGACAATGGGACCTGAAATAACCTCTTGGTTTTGGTTTTTTGTGTGTTTTCAAGTATGTTCTTGCTTAAGGTTTAATTGGCTCCAGTCAGTAGGAAAGGGCTCCAAGGCTGATTATTTATGGCTTACTGTCAAAAGTGGCTATAAAAAGGGCAGTATTATCTTGGAGATGCTGGGAAGGAAAATGTGGTGGGGGGAGGGTGGGGGAGTGTGTGTGTGCACGAATGTGTTTTCTTGTACTAGATGAAATCAGAGTTTTGCTGTCTCAGCAGTGTGGTTTAAATTGAAGATTAACCCTTTGACCTTCACGGTGTCAAATCACTTACAGATGGATCACCAGTTATATTTTTTCTTTTTTTTACTTTCGGGGTGAAGGGGGGCTTTTTTTTTTTAAAAAAAAAAAAAAGGTTGTTTGTTCATGCAGCTGGGGCTTTTGAAAGGCTCAGAAGCCAATCTGATTAAAAACAGCACTTGGCTAAACTCTGCGAAATCCTACAAGCAAAAAAAAAAGTTTAATCCTCTTGTGCACAATGCATAAAGAGTCTGCTCTTTTCTTTTTGTAATGTTAGAGCTACAATTATTTCTGGAGAACTTATCATTTCCCTCTCTCCCCTCATCCCTTGCTGCACCCCCTTGTTATGCTGATGGGATTAAAGTGTCTGCTCTTGAAAAGTGTAACTGAGTTGTTATTGGAAAAGAGAAGTGGTATGTTGCAATTTTAGAAATATAAATAACCTTGCTTTAACTGTTCTTCTCTACAGCATCAGCAGAACAGAAATCAAGTGTGGTGGCAGCTTTTTCTCTTCCTACACAACTTGGCCTTAAACACGGAGGTGAACAGGAACCACACTGGGCAGAGGTGAGCTTCGCCCGCCTGTTTCAGGCCACATCCAGTCTGCAGGGAGCACTGAACAAACACTGGTTCGGGGGCGAGACGTTGCACACCGCCGGCCGGATGTGAGGACTCTGACTTTCGGATACTCGTCTTCAAGTCTGGGTGTTTTCACGGACTCTTCTTTGCTGCTGCCTGCCTCGCGAGGCAGGGAGCTCTTGTCCAACACTGTTGAAGGAAAGCCAGAATGTGGGTGTGTTTGGTAAAGCTTGCTGCTGGCTCCCCGCACCGGTGACCTCTGTGCAAGGGAGGCAGGTATTAGACTGACGGCTTCCTCTGCCCTGTGTAGTAGGGGATGGTAGAGTGCAGGAGTGTCATTTTGGCTGCTAGTTAAAAGTGATGCCTGGGATTGATGACTAAACACACTTGGGGTATCTTTTAGAGCAGAGATGCTCAATTCCTCCACATTTTTAGCAGTGAAAAACATTCGAGTAGCTTGGTTCCATCAGGTTACTTGTTTTATTCATTGGTTACTGTTTATTTCATTGTGCCCTGTGTGAGAGAAAATCACAAAGAAATCTTACCTTTTCGGCCATTCCATTGGGCACCACTTGCAGAGCTCTCACAAGAAAAGCTGTTCTTTGTCATTGCCGTCAATTAAGAATAAATAAATCAGTAGAACAGGCTGAAAAAGAAACCTTCTTGGAGTTGCTGGTGGCTACTAGCTTCTGCCTGCTTTCAGTTCAGTGTTCTCAGTGCCCATGAGCCAGCAGGAAGCCAAAATCCATGGAATATCACATGTGTCATTCTTCTACAATGCTAATGTATATGTTTTTAGTAGTTTTATGATGGATGTTTATTTTATTTTGGTTTTCTTTTCTCCTACTATATAATGTGGTTGGTCAGGAAGGCTTAGATCCCAGGCATCCGATAATTTTGCTTCAGGATTTGACAGGGAAATTAATTAGCATCTAGTCTGATATGTACACTGTACAAGCAGTCTGTCCATTTACTCTAGTGTGCAGTATTTGGAGGCTGCTGTAAGCATATACTGACTAGCAGCAGTAATGTTATTTCAAGGGAGATCTTCTGTCAGTTTGTATGCACTCAGAGGTTTGTCCGTATGGCTGACACTATTGGACCAGCACAGGGAAACTACCCTACCAAAAAGAAGTAGCCTAAAATATTGATGGCTGCTTCTCTGTAGCCTTAAATATACTTAGTTCAAGACCTAGTGACAGCTAGGGTAAAACATGAACAGAGAAGCAATACAGACCTTATTATTTTTTCTGAAAATTTCCATATTACCACTGCACCTTGTTGTAGGTCTCAAATGATACAACCAACTTGAGGAAGAGCTGTCCAGAGAATTGCTCTTCAGTTGTGTTAGAAATGTTCAGCAGCAGGTGTTGAGAAATTCTTGATCCACTCTGAAAAATACTCATTACTGTACGGAAGAGTAGTTTACTTGCACATATGCTTTCCTTCTCCACCCCTCTTTGCATATTTGTCTCTAATTCCTGCTTTCTCTGGTATTTGTAATCTCATCATTGCACTGTAGTGTCTGGTAACAGTTTGCTGAACAGAGTTAAATTTGGACCTTCTTGCTTTCTCTCAGACCCATTCTCTTTGATTTTCATCCTGCGTCTACTGTGGCAAAAATGTACTTTAGCTTCCTGAAAGAGGTTCCCAAGCCTTTTTCACCCTCCTATATTCACAGTCACTCTCTTTAAACATAAGGAGAGAGTTTATGTGAGAAAAGCTTTTTTTCTCCTTTTGTGTTATTTTTCTAGCTAGAGCTAGAGTAATATGTTTGTCCATGATGGTTAATAATTCATATAAATGAATCTCAAGTAATATTTTTGGGGGTGGGTTTATGGAGAGGGAGGGTGGTAGGTTTTTTTAGAAGGGGGAATTTTTTTGGTTTTGTATTGTTCCTTTAAGCATGTGCACTACAGAGTTACCCAGAGTGATCTAAGTGATAGCTGTTGCTGACTATGCTGCAGCAGGATGGAAGCTGCTCTCTGCCCACGCTGCCAGAGATCAGGCTTTCCATACTTTGCTTTGCACAGTCTGCTTGATGTAAATGCTGGTCATTGGAGAAAGAGGACTTAAATGGTGGGGAAAGCCTGAGGTGTAGTGCAAGCACAGATTGGGCTGGGGACCCCTGAGAAACCAAATATAAAGGAGAAGACTCTTAAATAAGAAGCTCTTTAAGAGGCAGTAGTGGAAGTGTGGAGGCTCAGGCAGCAATGCAGCAATGAGGCCTCCCCTTGTGGCATGCCCTTGGACGTGATGCATGCCTTTCCCTCTGCTTGCCAGGACCCTTTTATCAGGAACAGTCAATGCTACATCATAACCCTGCAAACTATGAAAAATTCAGCAACTGCTTCTAACATTTAAAAATCATTGTGAGCTTTCCCCTTTCCCTCTGCCTTGAATTGATGATCAAATGGGCTAATAAGGCCTGTCCTCTGGATGCATAAGCTGGAAAGATAAGTCTGGTACTGCCACTTTCTAGTGTTAAGATCTGACCAATTTGTCAAGGACGAGACTCTTCTTAACATGGAGAAACAAGTACCTGAAATGGTTCCTCATTCAGGCTGCTGGCCTCAGTAGAGTCATTTGGCTCAGGGAAAGACACATCTTTGCCAGTCCATATTTCCCACTGCAACAACAGACTTATCAAAATTGGTCATGCCAGGGTCTCAAAACCTCCTTGAACAACAATACTTCATTGGAGACATAGAGCTAATGCTAGACAAAGGCCGACTTCCTGCAATATGTGTGTTGGTTACTGGTGCCAGAGATTTACAACCACTGATAATATATTTTAATTATATTCCATATCTGCATATCTCAGAGAAAGGAAATATGCTCTGTCAACCCAAAAGTATTACTTTGCTTCTTGTAGATTTGGAGGGGCAGGCTGGTTATTTGCTTAGGGAAAAGCAACTACTTCATACTTAAAGTCTCACCTGCTTGGGGAAATGGTTTCACACATTTAGCAACAAACACATGGATGCACAGCTCTCATGCATGTGTCACCCATTCTGTGTTTGTAAGCCCCTTTGAACACCTGCTGGGGAGATCTTGCCCGCAGAGTAGCAAGCTACTGCAGCATGGCCAGGGACATACATTGATTATTTGTTGAAATGGTTCCAAAGAACATGATTTAAATCCTGTGCTGAAGGATTATGCTCAGGTTTTTAGATATGAGTTTGTTCTGTTGTAAGGAATGGGATGCTTTCTCTCTGTGCTGTGAACTAGTCTAGCAATTTAGAAAGAAGAGTTGGATCTTTCTCTTAAAACAAATTCCTGTTTTTAATGAGCAGTTCTTAAGAAAAACTTGAGCTGCTGCTCATGGTGCCAGCAGCCTTTAAAAATCTTTTTTGCCTTCCCCAGATCTCCAAAATGGCTTCAGAACTCAACTGTCCTTACTTGAGGGATGGAGTTCTTTCCATCCCTTCCCAGCTTCCTACTCTTTTGATTATCTTGTAGCCTGCTCATCCTAGGATCCAGCAAGCCTGGTGCTAGTAGGGAATAGTTAGCTTTATTTTTGTTTCCTGCAATTTTTGAAAGCTGAGCCAGTAATCACAAAGTACTGCCCAGGGATAGCTGCAAACTGCTGCAAATAGAATACAAAAAAGGCAGGAAAGGATGAAATTGCATGGAAAATGCTACTGCTGGATCTGTATCAGGTTGCAGCCCTCTCTCAAGGTGCTGATGATCCCTGGTAGCATTGAATTCCTGCATAACTGGTCACATATTTCAGTTTAAATACATTGTTACTAAATATTTGTTCGCTAAACTCTTGTTTAGGAGTCCTGAAAGAAACTTCCTTGTCAGCCTTTGTTTTGGAGCTGTGTATCAGCAAGAAAATAGAGGCGAGGAACCCAGCCTTTCTTGGTGTAGAAAGTGTGATTGCAAAGACATCTTTCTTTCTACTGGCTGTTTATTTTGTCCCCTCAAGCCTGGATTAAAGGTATAGGCAATGTGTGTATGTGAAGTTACTGCAGTCCTCGAGTTGCTCCATAGCAGTCACTGGAGCTGTACCCAAGGTGGAACCTCATTCGGTGTGGCACTTGGCACTCTTCTGGGAAACAGCAGATCCTGACCATTAGTAAACTAGGAAGAAAGGTTGGTTTGTTGTTTTTTTGTTTTTTTTTTTTTTTAAGAAAAAGCAAAATTACTTGAGGCAGTTATTACAATGTGACCCTATCAACTGTACAATGAATTCCACCCTTCTGCTGCTGGTCCTGACCCATATCTCTGCTGAAGCTGTGGGAATGGTGAGACTGTGACATGCTGAACGGTGTGATATTGAGGGTATTTTTAAAGGGAAAAATAGGGAAAGTGCTCAGTGTATGTGCTAGAATCAAACAAGAATGCAGATTTGTGGAGTTCTGGCCTTGTTTTACCAGCAGTATTTACTGTGGGATCATAAATAAAAGAATCATAGAATGCTGGTTCATATTAATGGGAGGTCTACCCATGAACCAAGCACTGTTGAGTATTAGCATAATTTGACAACAAAGGTTTTTATAATGTCCTTCAAAAGACTCTGTCTTTCAAACTGGCATTTGTGATCATTTGCAAAAATGCCTACCTGTTGCCTTTGATCGTTTTAGCAAGAAGAAATACCTCAAGGAATTGATAAAAGATCGTTGGACAATCTTTTACAGTTCCTAAAGACTTCAGTGGTCTCTGTTTCTTTGGTTTGCATGTGTTCACACAGGTGTTACACCTGTGCTCAGCTCTTCTCCACCAGGAAAAGCAGAAAAGACCAAACACATCAAATGCACTGGAATGTAATTGTGTGGGTGTGCGTGAGTGTGAGTGTGTGTGTGTGTGTGTTCTTGAACTGAATGCAGTCTGACATCCCCTACCCCTTCTTTCTTCCATGTGCCTCACCTTCCCCCTTAGCCACAGAAAGGAGGGTCTCTTCCTGCGAATCCCATGCTGGAAGTTGGTTTCTGGGAAGCGAAACCTAATGTCTGTGGGCTGTTTTTTAAAGCCATGTTTCAGTTCTGTCTTCAGACTTTTTGCTGCCTTTGGGGAACAGAGGGGTGGGAAGGGTAGATTGTTAAACTGTTCTTAAAATCTATTATGGAAATTTTGCATGTATAAAGTTATTCTTAAATCTAAAGGAGTCTCCCCAGTTTTTGGACATGGCTCCAGGAGAGCATCATCACAGATTCCTCAACTCAGTTTTAGATGAGACCATCTATACTCAAATAGTCTATACTCCTGAAAGTATAGATGACAAAAGTATTGATGACAAAAGGAGGATGGATGGGTATGATGGAAGGACATTGTCAGTATGTCCTTAAATACATGTCAGAAGTTAGGCTTGTAAAAGGGAAATTTTAAAACAGTCCACAGGATATGTATGTCTATTTCTACTGGGTGCATTTGAAAATCCTGCCACTAAATTTGATTTTGGGTATCTAGATGTTGGGGTTTTTTGGTTAAAATAATTGTGGCTGTCTTCTGTTCTCTTCCACGGTATGTAGTACAGTCTCCCATGTTTCTAGGTGAAATTCACTGATAAAAATACTGTGAAATGTGGATTCATATTTTCTTCTCCTCCTTCCCCCCCTGCTTCCTGCATGACTGTTCTTTGGTGGGATATTAAAAAACAAACAAACAACGACAAAGTTGTTCAGAGTCCTTCATCTGGAAAACAAAAAGGGTAAGATGAGCTAGAATTTGCAATGTACTTAATAAATTTCCTGTCAGTGGAAGGTTTCCCCATGACTTCTGATTTCCACCAGAATATGATACTGTCCTGCTGCAGAAGTAAACCCGATGCTCTCCTGTGAGATTTCTGTCTGGATTAGTCCTGAAGTGCACACACCTTCTTTGCCATGGACTGAGACCCAGTGAGAATGTAGCATTTTGTTTATCCTGGTTGTGTGCCTCCAGGACTCCTGCCTGTACCAATGGTGACTGGGCAGAGCTCCTTTTTTGTATCTGTGCAGTATATTTGCTTTCTGCTTTCTTCTTTGGTGCTTTTTAATACTTTAATACTTGGATTTTTTTTTTCTAATAACTGGTACAATTTTTAATAAAATTGTTAAATTTGTCTGTGTTCCTTGATTTATTTTTCAAGGGATGGAGGGTGTTTACACAGCTGACCTATGGAGTTACCTAAATCAGTGATACAATTTGCATTGTTCAACTTTGAAAATATCTGGTGGGTCATTTTATGTGCACCCTAAGACCAGGCCCTGCGGCAAGGACAAGATCTGCTTTTGAGATTGGACTGCTTTCCTTGGGCATAATTTGATTTATAAAATAGTCTTTCAATAAGATATATTCCTGCGCTTGGACAGAGAACTGCTGCTGCTTGGAACTGCACAGTTAACTCGCTTCAAATCAGGAAGATCTTGTTAAGATACATGAGGTACATCCTCCAATTTGCAAAATGTAATCTTTGATTGATGACCACTTGCCTACTGCCTACACAGGTACAAAGGTACTGAAGCCTTAAGAATAAAGACTCATTGCTAAGTAATCCTATTAAGGAAATATGGTTCTCACTGGTCTTCTGAGGCAGCAGAGGAAGGTGAGAGTGCTTGTAGGGTGGTAATGACTCCTT